CCTGAAGCACCTCGTGGCTCTCTTGCAGGAGCGGCGGGGTCTTTGTGGAGGTGGTGCAGATGAACTTCGAGATGGCCAGCTTCAGCAGCCTGTCAGGGTCGCAGCCCATCACCTGGCAGGTAGAGTACCCGCGGAGGGGCGCCACCGACGCCGTCACGTCCGAGATCTTCGTCAGCCAGAAGGACCTGGTGGGGATCGTGCCCCTGGCAATGGTGAGACCCTCACGCTGCAGCCCTGCTGCTCGTTCCTGAGGAGGTGCTTGTCGTCGGCTTCTGGGGGTGTGCTTTAGAGACTGCGCCCACTCTCTCGGCCCTGGGGGGTCACCCCAGCTCCTGGCAACCCTGTGGAGAGCAGGAGGGGACGCCGATCAGACCTGCACCATCCTCAGACTGTGGATGGCTCCAGTCTGTGGTCGAGGCTGCCCCCAGCCTGAGGAGGGCTCATCTCCCAGCCCAGTGTTCTGTTTGGGTAGCAGGGGCCACCAGGCCTTTCCTCCTCGTCTGTTCTCCATCTAGCAGCTCTGCTGAGACCTGCCCATGGTGGGTGACCCTGACTGGCTTTGGAAAGATGGTGGCCTAGCTTACAGCATCACCCCAGCCCCACCTTAGAACAGATGACAGGTGGGCCGAGGACTGCTTGTAGCACTCGCAAGTTTGGGCCCCTCTCGGGGCCACCGCACTGCCTCAGGCCAGCGGTCACAGGCATTTGTCCTCACTGCTGTCCCTTGCGGTCCTGTCCACAGCATCACCTGCTCTTGGTGCCCGCGGTTCAGCCGCTCCAAGGGAGTGTGGACTAGGTGCCATTGAGCCCCCATTCCAACACAGGTTTCTGGTGACTCAGGTTTCCGGTCCATTGTGTTCAGTGAAGCTGGCTGCCTGCGGCTCCTCCCTGGACGGAAGCTGCCGGGCACACTGAAACCACGGACCTTTGGTTCTCAGCCTGATACCAGCACTACCAGAGCTGCACCCCCACTCTTGCAGGGGCCACTGTGTCAGTAACATCCAAATCGAGGGTGGCACACGGGGAGGTGCTTAACAAGGAGCTTTGGGGTGAGTGGCTGGCTGAAGGACCAGCAGGCCCGTCTCCCCATCTGGGTACGCTCCCTGGTCAGCGAGGAGGCGAAATCGAGCAGGCAGTTCTGAGAATCACTGGAGCAGTGAGTCCAGGACTTCCTTCCTAATTCTTGACAGCCAACCCCACCTGACAGGCCCCTCTTGAGGTCTCGTCTCACTGGGCAGGTAGGGCTGCGGGGCTGGGCTCAAACCCAGAACCCACTGCTATCGAGTCTGTAACCCTGCAGGACAGGCAGAACTGCCCTGTGCGAAGAGTAACTGCTGGGGGAGCAGAAAAGCTGGTCTTTCTCCTGAGGACCAGCTGGTTGTTTTTAACTGCTGACCTTGTGGATCGAAGCCCAGCTCGCCATCCTGACCGGACTGGGCTGGTACAGCTCTGACCGACACCCTCCCTCCTGCCCCCTTCCTCCAAGGTGCCTTCACAGCGGGGGACCAGTGCATCCAAAGATGGGTGCCGTGACGTGTGTGGGGACGACAGGGTGACAGGGCTTGTAACGGGGCCCTGGCCCCACTAACCACAAGCAGAGACCGCCATGCCCCTTCCCTCTGGCTGGGTTCATGTGGGCGACAGGGGGCATTTCAGGCTCTGAGTCAGTCAGAACAGGCCCAGACATGGCCAACCCAGGGAAGCAGGAACGGACCAAGTTTGTGATGGAGTGTGCTCTGGGAGGCTCACAGGAATGGGATAAACTCCAGGTCTGAGTCCTGGAACAAACAGGGGCGGGGAGGGGGGTGCTGGGAAGAGGTGGAAGAGCCAGGGTCGGGAGGTTGGATCATCACCAGGACGGTGGAGGGTTCGTGCATTCACAACCACGTGACGGGCCACCATCTCTGGGCCGGCCGTTGTTTCTGACTCTGCCGTCAAGAGACTCGGTTGCTATGCAGGGCACACTGCCCTGTTCTCTAGAGAACGGGACGTCTCCAGTGTCACAGAGCCGCTCTGTGACACCCACATCCACAAAGTGGTCCTTTCTGCTTTCGCTCGGTGAGCCATGACGGGGCCAGAAGGACTAGTCGGAGCCCTGGAGCTGTCTTAATTGTTCAGGAGCTGTGCTTGGCAGTGCCGATCGAAGGAAGGAGGACGCGCAGAGCTGACGGGAAGGAATGTACACATGGTGTCATGACCTCACCCCGTGCTCTCGCCTGAACACTGTGTGCACCAGGGGCAGGCTGGGCCCCCTCTCTATTAGCTGAGGAAGGCTTTGTGAGGAGGCAGGGGAACAGGAAATGAGCACTGCCCAGTCCTCTTGACTGCTGTGGGCCAGACTGCGGTGACCCACTGGGTGCTGATATCCAGCAGCCGTCCTCGATTGCCCCCGCCCCCAGAGGTCTAGTGGTTCCAGGAAAAGGCTGAGCAGTATGTGGGTCACACTCACCCCAAAGGTAACCGTCGATGGAGGGACTCAGAGCAAGTGCTTTTGTGACTTTTTGTTGCGGATCAGGTGAAGGTTTGCAGAACAGTCAATCAGTTCTACATTCACCAACCCACACCCAGCTTCAGCTCACCTCTTGCAATCTCCCACGGACTACGCTTACCCCACTTCCTCCCACATCTCTTGTTTCCATGGCTCCCCCTTCCTAAGTCTCTGGCTCTGTGGTTACAGGCTGCCCTTTCCGTCTTAAGTGCTGATTACTCAGACACAACAGTGAGGTCCTTCCCATGCCTGAGGGTTAATGAGGGCCACTGTCTTGGGTGCCCACCTGTCGCTACCTGACTGGTAAGCCTGGTCTATTTGTTGATTCTGAATTCCGGTCTACAATTTCCTACCCACTCTCTCCAGGACTTTCTAATGTGGTGCCTTTGAGAGCAGTTGGCGGTGGTGGCCGGGCACCGTCTAGGTCTTCGGGGCTCAGGCTGTGGGGGCTGATGTTTCTGTGGTCCGTTAGTCCATGGGATGGACTACTTCCACAGGCTTGTCAGTTTCTATCCCTCGTCTTTCCTCTGGGCGTGGCCAGTGGTGACAAAGATGTATTTTAAAGCACTGAATGTATGGAAGTAACCTCAAACTCACTCACAGATGGATGATCTCAGACACGGCCTGCCACAGAGGTCCTCTGAGCATCCGACATCCTTAGATAGTGCATCTGATAACGCAGGAGAAAGCAAACAAGCAAAACCACAGCACAAAGTTGATGCTGACTCATAATGACCCTGAATGGGGTGTCGAAGAACGTGGATTTCACAGGTGCAGAAAGCCCCAGCTTCCTCCCCAGGAGCAGCTGGTAGGTTAGAACCTCCAGCCTTGTGGTTAGCAGCCAGTGTCCCAGCACTCCTCTTTAAGAGGGGGTGAGTTACACACACACACACACACACACATATTGCATCCCTACTGTGCCCCAGTGTGGAAGACCCTGCGCCTGAAAAGTACCCATGGGGGGTGCTGTTGATAGAACCCCTGCTGAGGGCTTTCACTGGGGCTGATTTGAACGAGACATAGTCTTGGAATTTGGCCTTTTAAGCTACTGAGAGAACGGACAGATGAAAGGAGCCCTTCTGTTGGTGGGGTTGGGCTCCTTCTGGGCTCTGGGGTCATGTGGATTAACAAAGAGCCGGGTCTATGCGTTCATTTTGCTTGTGGGAAAGCCTTCAGTCTCCCGAGTGTGAGTGCGCTTGTAGGTAAGCCTCAGCTCCCTGAGGGGCCACCTGCCAGCAGGGTGCCCATGATGGTCCCCAAGTGGCTCCCATTAACGAGATGCTGGCCGCAGCGGAGGCACTGGTCCCTCCCCAGACCACAAAGACCAGATGCACCTGGGCCCTGCGAGGCTGTGTCTGCATCAGCAGCAGGCGTCTGGGTGGTGGTGGTCTGAGACAGGACGGCCCTCTGCCACCTCCTGGTCCCAAGGCCTCCTTCCCCAGGGTCTGAGGGGGGCTCCTTGCTGCCCAGAGTCGGGCTTGTCTGATAGGAAGACACTGCAGCAGAAGTGTTTCCAGTGTGGTGGGTAGCGGGGTGCAGAAGAGGTTGTGACTTGGACTCTGGGACCTGGGGAGGCACAAGGGGGTAGTTTATTTTCATTAACCCCGCCCTGCCTCAGCCCACTCCACAGCCACCTCTACAGGTGGCCTCAGAGGGGGTTATGAAAGGTGACAGACGTGGGAAGTGGGGGGGCAGTAGCTCCTTCCTCCACCCACTGACCACCCACAGTCCCAACTCACAGCGACCCCGCAGAACAGAGTAGAACGGCCCCTTTGGTTTCCAAGGCCGTTAGTCTGTGCAGCTGTGGACAGCCTCACATTTTGCCCAAGAAGCGGCTGATGGGTTCGCATCCCCAACCTTGCCATTGGCAATCCAGTGCACAGCCCAGCTCCACTACTGCCAGACTCAGATTCTGCCCCAGAGCGATGCTGTCAGACAGAGTAGAACTGTCTCCTGTATTGTCCAAGGCTGCAGATCTCTACTGGACACACAGACTCGCCCTTCTCCTGGGAAGCACCCAGTGGGTTTGAACTACTGGCCTGGTGGTTAACAACCCAACGTGTGACCCACCACACCAGCAAGCAGACCAAAACCTAACTCACTGCCATGGAGTCCATGCCGAATCATAGGGACCCTATAGAATAGGGTAGCACTGGCCCTGTGAATTTCCAAGACTGCAACTCCTCGCAGGAGTCGAAAGCCTCATCTTTCTCCCGAGAAGCAGCTGGTGGTTTAGGACTGCTGACATTGTGGTTAGCAGCCTAATGTGTAATGATGACACCACCAAGACTCCTTAACTCATCTCCCAAAAGTCCATAGGGCAGGGGTCCTTCCACAGATGAGACAACTGAGGCGCTAAGGAGTGCAGCCCTGACCCAGTCCCCTAGGAAGCTGGGAGGCAGCAAAGAGGCTACTGTGGTC